CATACAAATGACAAATTAATCAGCCTATGCCTAAATGACACTGATAGATGCTCCCTCTCATTCCTTCTCTGTCGCGACCCCCCCCCCTCAGCCCACCCACATCTTTTTTTCAGTTTTATGAGACAGGGTATCAAATTTACCATCCTCTGCCTCAGCCTCCTGCTGAATGATGGCAGTACAGACACACGCCTGGCCAGTAAATCTATTCAGATGTCTCCCAATCAACTTAAAATATCATTGACCTTAGGAACGTGCTTCTCATGTTCTAACAAGGAAGAGAGAAACACACATTTCCTTTCACTGTGGTCCCTGAAGCCATGGGTACTTTGGGGCAAGGAGAGAAACAGCTGGTGCCTGCAAAGCCTGTGCAGTGAAATAAGCTTCCTCCAGACCAATCTCCAAGGGCAATCCAGAACCAGGGAGGCCGGAGCCCTGACCCTGGCCCCCTCCCTGGGCTCAAAACAAGACCTAGAGTTTTATCTTTAGAGTGTAAGAGCAAGCTGTGAAACTGGATACAGCAGCACATGTCTGGGGTCCCAGCATTCAATGGGAAGCTGAAACAGGAGGACCAAGTTCAAGGGCAACCTTTATCAAATAAATAAATGAAGTAAGCTGGTGAAAACTTCAGTCTCAACACTCAAAGAATACGTGAAGGCTGATCTCTGAGTTCAAGACCAGGCTGGTCTACACAGTGTGTTCCAGCCAGCCAGAGGTCCATAGTGAGACTGTGTCTCACAACAAGTAGGGAGCCTGGCAACCTGAATTTAAACCCCATGACCCATGGAAGAGTAGAAGGAGAACAGTTGGTCTCCACAAGGTTGTCCTCAGGTTTCCACTTGTATGTCACACACACACACACACACACACACACACACACACACACACACACACAGACTTTCATGACCCTCAATTTACAAACATCAATTAGTTCAGCTATGGAAAAACTCTCTAGTACTGGAGAGTGGTGGCGCACGCCTTCAGTCCCAGAGCTCAGAAGGCAGGGGTGGCCGGATCTCTGAGTTCGAAGGCAACCTGGTCTACAGAGCAAATTCCAGGTGGTGTCCTGAGAATCGTAGGAGGGCAAGTCCGATCCCCTGGAACTGGAGCACAGATGGTTGTGAGTCGCCCGGTGGGCGCTGGGTCCTGACCCAGGTCCTTTTCACGTGCAGCCAGTGCTCCTAACCTCTGAGAACCAGTGTGAAGCTTCAGAGAGGAGGCACACAGGGCGCTGAGGGAGGAAGAAGGCGCCACCTAGCCGGCTCACAGCCCAACCAACCTGCAAAGTTATATCCAGACGCACAATTCTACAGAGAACACAGCCTCCAGCCAGAATCTGGAGAACAAACGGGTGAACCACAAACCTCACCCCACGTGCTTTTCTGCCGAACAGCCTCCTCCATCACTTAGTCCCGACTTATCTCCATCTCAAGTGTAAAATCACTCCCATCAGGAAAACGACTATCAACACTCAGACCTTGGACTGAGGGCATCTCAGAGTGGAGACTGCCCCGTGACAGCGCGACTGGGGCTGCTTCTCCACACTACCTCCTTCGCACAGAAGTCGCTGTTAGGAACATTACAGGACAGACAGCGAGAGAACACACATCCTCGGACACCCTCTCATCAATTACAGGACCGGCTGGCTCCTCAGACACTAAAACAGAGGAAACTTGGTACACTCTAAAGATGAGGAGCAGACACTGAAGCCCAGCAGGCTGTGCTTGCCCAGCACACACAAGGCCCTGGGCTCCATCCCCAGCACCTGAGAGGCAGTCAGAAAGTTCAGGAGTTCAAGGTCATCCTTGGCTACATACTGACTTCAAGGCCAGCCTGAGCTACACAAGACCCTTGTCTCAGGAAAAAAAAAAAAAAAAAAAAAGCAACAGAGATGGCTCAATGATTAAGAGCACTTGCTGCTCAACCATGAGGACCAGGTTCAGATACAAGCACCTATATCCAGTGATTCACAAATACAAATACCTGTAACTTGAACTCTGAGGTAGCGGGCACCCTCTTCTAGCCTTCGTGGGCACACACACAAACTCATGTAGACACATACAAACAGACACACAAACACAGACTTTAAAAAAAATCATGGCAGGGCTGGAGATGTGGCTCAGTGGTTAGGAGCACTTGTTGCTCTTACAGAATCTGGGTTTGGTACCCAGCACCTTAACTGCAGCTAATGACTGTGCGATTCCAATTCCAGGTTGCCTGATGCCTCCTCTGTCCTCCGCAGGTACTGCATGCACATGGTAAGCATACGCATGCAGGTTAAAACCACCCATACACAGAAACAGAAAATAAATATATTTTTAGATATGTTGAATAAACGAGTCACCTGAGAATACACAAAAGACACACAAAGCCCCTGATTTTCAGAAAACAATGACTAGGATTTCTAAAGATCTGAGTTTTGTTTTGAGACAGAATCTCACTACATAGCCTTGGCTGGTCTGAAACTCACTACATACACCAGGCTGGCCTCAAACCACACAGATCTGCCTGCCTTGTCCTCCAGGTGCCACCACACCCAGCCTATAGAGAGAGATAGTCATATTTCTTATTGCTACATAAGTCTTTGGTGCTGAAGGGTTAAGACCACACAGATCTAACAAATCTCAACTCATGACTGACAGCTATCATTCACTGTTCTGAGATCTATGCTAACGGCTGGACTTTGTTGTACATGAGCTTATTAAGTATATATCAGGCCGAAGTAAAAGAATACAAAGCCATGGATGGAGGGTCGGGAGCCCACCGAATACAGCAGACTGACTCGGAGTCACAGTGCTCAGCTGGATTCCAGACTGAGCTTTCAGCTTCTCTCTCCTGCTGCAGCATGGGGGTGCCCACTCTGTTGGAGATGGGTCACTTTTCAGCTGTCCTCAAGGACACACAGAGTTTCCCTCTTGGGCTGTGTTGCTGTTCCCATCCCTCCCCGTCACAGAACTGCGCGGGGATCAGGTGTTCTCGGGTCTGAGACATTGGAAGGGGGAGACCTGCGGCCCTGCCTCTGGAGCCAGGCTTTTGGGGGGCTTGAAGGATACAGGACAACTTACCAATGCATACAGCATGGTCACATATAAAAGCATCATGTCGCAAAGCCCCCCGTGTGTCCACAGCAGGCTCTCAATTGTGCGCCCAAGCTCTACAGCACAGACTCCTGGATCCTGGGAGAAGCACACGTCTGCTGGCCGCGCTAGCCCATGCCTGTCATCCCAGCACTCAGGGGCCTGAAGCAGGAGGAGCAGTTCGAGGCCATCCTGAGCCACACAGCAAGACCCTTATTTCAAAAACATAAAGAAAGGAAAGGAGAAGAAAGAATTGCACATTCCCAGGCCCCAGCTCAACAGACTTCCTCTCTGGGCAGGCCCAGATGGTGTGACTCACAGCCAAGGCTGGAGCCAGAGCTCTCCACCAAAGCTGAATATAAACATGCGGCAGGGCTGAACTGGGAAAGCAGAAAAGGAAGGGCTTCTGCTGCATCACTGTGGGCTATGTGGAGGGCATTTTATTAAGAGCACCCTGCTTCTCATGGGGCATTCATTCAGAAACCCTTTCCCAGACGACACCTAGCTGAAGTCATATATATATGGTATATATATAATTACTATTTTGTGTTTTTAAGCAAAGACTCCCTATGTAAGGCGGCCTAGAACTCCCTATGTAGACCAGCCTGGCCATTAAATGCAGAGATCCACCTGCCTCCACCTCCTTTGTGCTGGGAGAAAAGGCATCTACTTTATTTTCATTTTTAATTATGAGTATGGTGTGTGTCTGGGGAGCTGGAGTGTGTGCACACGAGTGTAATTAGAGGCCAGAAGAAGGCACCAGGTCCCCAGAGCTGGAGCAGGTGAGAGGAACAGAACTTTCGTAGCACACACTCTCAACTGCTGAGCCCATCTCTCTAGCCCCATGACTGTGTCTAAGAATTCTCTGCAAACTGAAGCATCAGGTCAGTTCACAGAACAACCTGTGCTCACCAAGGAAAAACAGCAAAGGCAGTTAGGAATGATGGCGAGGCGCGTCCAGGAGAACCTTCCAGACTGTGTGTGCCTCACTCAAGGTGCTGCGCTTTGGCTGGGATTTGTCACTCTTCCGTCTAATGGAAATATAAAAGCTAAAAGGGCCAAAACAGATGATACCTCTGGCCTGGCTTTGCTTCCACACAGGGAAACGTACAGGAGCGTGGGAGGCATGGAGGTCCTTGCACTCACATACGCACCAGCAGAACCAAGAATGTCAGACACACAGCTGTCTCTTCAAAGGGAGGGATGTGTGGCCTGTTATCTGGCCAGAAGCCTGGGAACAGATGTGGCTGACCTTTGTGTTAGTTATCTGTGGCCAGACCACAGCAGATCCTCCCCCAGACCCATTTCATGAGCTTGTTTATCATGAGCCTGTTTCCTTAGCTAATCTATAGACTCCATCATTATGGAAGAAGTCACGTGTACTAAGAGTTTCCATACAGTCACTTATTAAACTTTGCTGTGCATATGAAGTTGAATTGCCACCAGGAAATGTTTTTCCAAACTGTGCTGTGCTTAATATGCCTGAAATAAAGTATTCAGGGTCAGACTCTCAAAGTCTGAAACAACACTGGCTACTCAGTCGTACTAAAGCAAACTACCTTATCTCTCATAATCCACTCTGCTAGGTGTCTGCAGAGACTCCCACACAGTACAGACAAAATTCCCACTGCCAAGAAGCCATTCTTCTGCCATTTTGACCCAGGCTGTACTGACAGGATTAGCAGGCCTTTGCAGAGAGGATGTGGCTCAGCCTAGCATTTATGAGACCCTGGGGCTTCTTTCCCCAGCACAGGGTAAAACCAGGGGCGGTGATATACACCTGTAATCCCAGCACTCTGGAAACAGAGGCAGGAGAATCAGACGTCCAAGGTCATCCTCCAATGTACAGCAAGGTCAAGGCTGACTGAGGTGAATAAAACCCTGTTCTGTAACAAAAATAAAATAAAGAAACAAGAAAGCAAATACCTTTGAACTGTTTAATCATGTTCTGATGGTTCTCCACAGCTTCCTTCAGGATCAGTTCCGGCTGGTCCATCTTCCACCGCCATTCAGTGCCCACGGGATTGGTGTGGTGCCTATAAACACGATGCAGGGTGCTATGGCCACCTTTTCTGACATCACAGAGTCCAGTGTGGCCAGCCCCTCCAAATAAAGACAGAGCTGGTGTCCCAGTAAAGCCCCACTATTCAGAGGATTCGCCCTATTTTGAGTCATGCGGCGGCAATAGTGGAGAGGCCCCCAGCACCCTGCTCTGCTCTCGGCTCAGAGTCAAGTTCAAGAACAGGTTGACCAAACATGAACCTGATTCTTTTTTAAAATGAATACCTTCTTACTTACTTACTTATGTGTCTGTGGGTGTATGTGCACCTATGTTCAGGTACCCAGTGTGGGTGTCGAAAACCAAACTCTGGCTGTCAGAAAAGGAATAAATGTTCCTAACTGCTGAGCTGCCTCTCCAGCTCCTCCCTCCTGCTGAGTCATGTTAACTGAGCTCAGACACAAACAAACGCTGACCTGTGGTCAGCACGTGAGTTGACGATTCCTAAACTGCATGAGGAGAACAGAAGCTCTCAAGGTTTAGAAACCACACCTCGGTACACCAAGCACTCTGGCGGTTCTCAGGAAGAGTGGGTGTGGCTTCTCCTCCAGTACTCCAGTCTTCTGTTTTGAGGCAGACTACCCTATAGCCCAGGCCGGCCTCGAATGCCCAGTGCAGTTGAGGATGGCCTTCAGCTTCTGCTCCTCCAGCCCCCTTATCCCCAGTGCTGGAATTAGGGTGCAGACCACCATTTGTGGTTTATGCAGTGTTGGGAATGGAACTCAGGGCTTCATGCATGAGAAGCAAGCACTCTACCAACTGAGCCACGGCACTTTTTATTCTTCGGCAACTTCTTTTCCCTTCAGTGTTCCTTAAAAATGTAACCCATGTGGGCCTCACTGCTTCCAGCTATGATTTTTTTCCTATGTGTATCTGTCCGTGGTTATGCTAATATGTGTGCATATGATCCCAAAGGCTAGAAGAGGGTGTCAGATCCCCCTCAAGCTGGAGCTCCAAGCAACTGTGAACTGCCAGGTGTGAGTATTGGGAGCAGTGAGCGCTCCTAACCACTGAGCCATTCCCCAGCCCCAGCTACACTTTTTAGACGCTGATCCGGTTAACACAGTCAGGAGGGCTGTGTGGGCTGACATGGCTCCTGAGAATGCAGCGGAGACTGGCCCACCGCACAGGTCCGACACACCCCGGGCAACTCTCGCCATCTGGTCACCACGCTGAGCGCCTCGACTTACCGCCAGCAGAAGACGCACTTGTTTGCACACGCCAAACTCGGAGTGGCTTCCATGCAGCGATGGCTCTCGATGCCATAGAACGTGTGTTTGTAGCAACCTCCTCTGCCCCGCAGCATCGACTGTGACAAGCAGGAGACATGCCGTCGTTTGAATAGAATAACAGGCTCAACAGCTAGGCACTGCTGCTTTGTTCACATGCTTCCATTTTCTCATGTACCGTGACTGTGTGAAATGAGTGCAGGCTCAGGCAGGCCACAGCATGTGAAGGTCCCAAGACAACTTTGTGGGACTGATTCTCTTTCTTCCACCTTTATGTGGGTCCTAGAGATGGAACTCGGGTCACCAGGCTTATGCAGCAAAGCATTTTACCCTCTGAGCCATCTCATCGGCCCAAAGGCATCATTTTTAAAAACAACACCGTAGGGCAGGGGATGACTCGGCGTAAAAGCACTGGCTCACCTGAGTTTGACCCTTGTGCTGCACATGATGGAAGGTGAACTGACACCTCCAAGCTTGTGCTTTCCCTAGCATGTGTCCCCGCTGTTAGCAGCACGTGACCACACTCCTACAATTCCACCCTCTCACCTCCATCCTGATGCTCCAGTGGCAGAGATGCTGGCTGAAAACCTCATTAATCCACAAATCCCCAAGGCTCCACTTTGAGTTTTGTTTGCTTTGTGTCTAATCTACTTTGATTTCTGTGATGCAGGCTGGGTAAACCCTATCGACTGGTCCTGGGTACAAACTGTGCCATCGGCCTTCTGGGGTCAGAGGACAGAGCCTGCGACCCTGCTTGACTGCTGGGCCCTCAGGAAGTTGTTTTATCTGTTTTACTCTGCTTTCCTGTTGAAACGGGCTTCTCGGTTGTTTTTGTTTGTTTGGTTGGTTGACTTTTAGCCTTGCTCTTTACCAGGCCATTTTACTCTTTCCTCTGTCTAAAGATCACCCATAACTGTTGTAGCTGCGCAAAGCATTCACCCAGGCCCATCCACTGACTCAGCTGCTACTGACAGCAGCTGATTCTCTTTCATGTATATGAGAGCTTTATCTGCATGCACACATGCATGACAGATCAGAGCACCAGATCTCACTATAGATGGTTGTGAGCCACCATGTGGTTGCTGGGAATTGAACTCAGGACCTCTGGAAGAGCAGCCAGTGCTCTTAAACGCTGAGCCACCTCTCCAGTCCCGCTGATTCTCTTTTACTCTCTGAGTTATGACTTTCTCAAGTCCTTGCTGTGACAGGTGATTTTTCTGTAGCATCCTGGGCATTCTGTCAGTGAAAAGACTCTAGTGATTCTCAACCTATGGATCGTGACCCCATCAGATATCCAGCACATCAGATACATAACAATTCATAACAGTAATAAAATTACAGTTATGAAGTAACAACAAAAATAACTTTATGGCTGGGGTCACCACAACATGAGGAACTGTATTAAAGGGTCACAGCACTAAGAAGATTGAGAACCACTTTTCTACACCGTTCCTCTCTCTCTCATTTTAGCACACAGTCACTTGGCTGAGCTGGAAGACAGGTCCCATGTTGGGCTTTCCACAGCTATGACAGGAATGTCAGGCCAGACATCTCAGCCTGGGCTGCTTCAGTGGCAAGGCTTCCTCTGGCCTGTACACTCAGTAGAAAGGAAGCTTAAAGCTTCTAAGACTAGGCCTAGATTAGAAGACAGAGGCAGTAAGCCTCGGAGACAACAGCTGGTCTCTTCTCACTGCCACTTAATTGACTGGCATCTTCAGGCAAGAAGGAAATTTCAGGCCCAGCTAGTGAAAAGAGCACATGTATGTTGTTAGTGGGAATGCCAGTTTTATTGGAAAACTATCGTTATCTTCTGTAAACCGAGGACAACCTGTGAGACTTCTCTCCTACCGGCTCATGGTTACTGAGCTCAGATGGTCAGACCTGGTGGCAAGCACCCTTACACACTAGGCTATCTTGCCAGCCCTTAGGAATATTTACTCATCAACAGAAATGGAAATGATGAAAAGGGAAGGGATAGTGGCAGCCAGTTGTCCTAACCGAGTGAAGAGACAAAGCTGCACAGCTGCTAATTGCAGAGTGGGGCAGCAAAGCCAGGAGAAGACCAAGCCACTGATGGCAGTGCAGGGAAAGTACGGGACTCTGGCACAAACCCACTGCTGGGAGAGACTCCATCAACTTCAGAGTCACAGAGCTGCTTCACGCAAGACAGCTTACGCATAGCTGGACTTCAGACTGGCCAGGTGTGGTAGTGCGCACCTATAATCCCAGGACTCAGGGGGACCAGAGGGTCAGGGCCAGCCTGGGCTACATGGTGAGATCCTACAGCCAAGAAGCAAAATGAAAAAAAGAATGCCTATAGAATTCTCGTTAATACAATCGATTCTAAAAATTACCGCTGAAGGCATATATTATTAATTCTCATGGATAAAATGAATGAAAGAATAAAAATCTATCCTGTAGTCGTCATGTGTTTACACTGTTACAGGGCTGCCTATCACTCACTCTAAACTGCCAACCACAAGTCTGCCACCTACATTAGCCTAGCCCTTCCTGTTCCTCCTGTTGTCAGCACTCATCTATTCCAGCAGAAATGGCATAGAGGAGACCATCTCCAAGTCTTATGACAAATTAGAAGCAGGGCTGGAATCATGGCTCGGCGATTAAGAGCGCATGGTACTTCTGTAGAAGTCCCAAGTTTCGTTCCCAAGGCAGCTCACAACCACCTGTAGCTCAATAGAACAAAGCATGGGCCTTAATAAGTTGCAGAATTTCAAGACATAAGCTCTACTTCTGTGTCATTCCATCCTGACCATCCACCAAGTGATATCTCAGGACTCCACACCAATCCTGAGTTATAATGAGGCCTGAGTCCTTGTTGCATGCAGCCTCCTCTCTGTGTCTCCCCTGGGATATGAGCCCCAGGCTCCTTGGTCCACTTCCCTCTTTGTCTCATCATTATGGAAATAAGCCTGGCATTTCACCGTTTCCCGTACAGAGCAGCTTCTAGCTAATCTTCCTCAAAGTTAAAAGTATCCACCTAAATTAGAAGGGTGCCAATGTGGCTCGGTGATAAAATGCTTGCCTAGCACATGCAAGGCCCTGGCTTGATGCTCAGCACCACACATAAGAAGGAGGGGCAGCAGGAGGAGGAAGCGCAAAAGGAGAAGTGGCAAGATAAAAAGAAGGAGGAAAGGGAAAAAGGGGAGAAGAAAGGGAAGAAAAGGAGAAATAAGAGGAAGTGTAAGAGGAAGAGGAGGAAGAGGAGGATGTGGAGCAGCTGGTCTAGCCGAAGCAGCTGGCCCTTCACCAAGCCCTCTACCACTGAAGCTTCACAACATTTTTGTGCGGAAATACATATTTAACGTAAAGTGCTTCCTCTTTCATTTCATTACAGATTGGATGAAACACCAATTTTCGAAATTATGCATGTGATTTACTATCTGAAAATTGAATTTAGCAATGGTAAAAGTGACACTGCTTATTACTGGCTGTATACAGAAGGCACCCAGTCTGACATCACTGCAAATCACTGGACTGGAAAAAGAGAAATGTGGGGAAGGCGACATGTGGAATTCATTAATTAATTTGCAGGGCTGAGCCTGCTGTCACCAAAAGCAGATGAAGTAACACAAAGTACCAGATGAAAAATCTCTCGGAATATTTGTACCTTAGGAAGAAGGAAAAGGAATGAGTTAAGATTAGTCTCTTCAGGATGTAGCCCAGCAGGTAGAGTGCTCACCCAGCATGAACGAGGCCCTGGGTTCGAGCCCCAGAACCACACAAACCAGGTATGGTACTGCACGTGTAACCCCCAATATCTGGGAGACAGAGGAGGAAAATCAGGAGTTTAAGGTCATCCTCAGCTACGTAACGAGTTTAAGGTCAGCCTGGGCTACATGGACCCTGCCTCAAAAGCAGATAGATAGATAGATAGATAGATAGATAGATAGATAGATAGATAGATAGA